TTGTCACAGCCTTGTTTTGAACTTTGCCTGCATCCACTCCTTTGAGTGCCTTTTTGTTACAATAAACCATGTTTTCTGAATCTGAGTCCTCCCTCCAAAATCCACCTTCCGTGACAGTGGTTTCACATCTGAAAATTGTCTTTTTTAGATATTTGTTCCAAAGTTTTTGAAGTGAGATGGTTACATCTTCTTACCCCATTTAGTTGTCAACTTGAATTTCTTCCCCCTTCAACAACTTTACTTCCTTCCCTCCGTTCCTCCATCTGTCTGTATTCATTAGCAGACGCTCTCCATCAAAGCCGGCTCTTTTTCCCCCACCGGCTCACGGCTTTTCTTCTCTTTTCGAGCGAGTGGCAGGAGTCGTGAGTGAGTGAGCACGTTGAAAGCATCCTCGAAGCCATGTGGACTTTTGAGCATGAATTTGATTTGTTGAGCGGCTCGGAGGTTTTTGTGTGTGTGTATATGTCGTGTGTTTGTGGATGACTAGCTGTGAGGCACATTACCCAGCAGAGAGTGAGTTGGTTTCAGCTGGTGGAGTCTGTGCACTCTGTAGTTTGCCTCGATCTAATGGCGAAGCATGAATTGCGTATGGATATAATGGTCCTTCTCGCTGGGAGGGGGGGTTGTTGATATTCTGATGCCTGATTTGACAAAGCTCAGTATACAGCGGTCAGACTCACAGCAGAGAATGAGGAGCAGAAGGAACAAATCTCTAACAATTCAACCCCTTTTTTTTCCTCAAACACACATAACTGATTGGCTTTCTGGGAATAAATCCAAGCAGCTCTCTTATAAAGAGCAGACCTAAGCCGGACTGAATCAGTGGAAGGCATCTTTTTGGCCCGTCCGCTGGCTGACCGCTCAGCTCAACACAGTATTGTGCTCATTGTGTCTTTGAACAGGCAGCAGATGCTACATTATTGTGGACTTCTTGTAAGTGACATGGATTTTCCACCAGCAGGCCCGCTGAGGCCTTTTTCAGCTCTCATCCTCCATTATGAACTTCTGCTTTTGTACATGTCACCATAATAGCACGATGGCATTATATTAGCACTAGACTAAATAGCTTTTCAGTAAAGAGCAGGCTCTGGTCTTTATTACCTATAAAACATGCATGCCTTCTCACAGTTCAGACAATAACGCAGAGAGAGGCTCCAAACAGCTCGGAAAAAGAAAGAGCTCCACATTAGAGATTAACCACGAACAGTAGATGAGCCCTAATGGTCCAGAGCGAATGAAGACAGGATCAGACTTCTGTGGAATCCGTTTTCTATTTACTATTTATGATGACTTTGTTCTCTCATTTTTATTTTCAATCCTTCAACTCAATATTTTCTTTGAGTTGATTTTTTTTTTCTTTCCATATGGCTGACCTCCTTTTCTTACTGGCTTTGCCTCACTTGTGGCTACATGCTGGTGTGTTTCTATAGACGACGGATCTCTTGGCTGTGCGCCTTTATCCCCGGAGCAGAAACGCACATGGGGACGTTTCTGTGGCCTTGTCGAAGGGCAAATCATGACAGTGTCTTTCCCACAAACCCTGCTCAGCGTGTCTTTAAGCATATCTTGGGGGTTCGCAGGGTATTTTAGACAGAGATGTTTTACTAAATTAATTTTAGTTCCATTCATGGTGGAAACTGTCTCTTAAAATCAGGCGTTTGATTAAAAGGACAATAAAGCTGATTATGTCATTATTATATTATCAGTTATGGGAAATTATTGTGTGATTACCAGCAGGAAGGGTGAAAAGAAAGATGCTTTTTGAAATTCAGCTTTTCTATTCTTTAAGTTTATCTGAATCTATTGTTTACTTCCTGAGAATGATTCTTTCCAAGTGTAAGCCGCTCCTTATTTAGGTTAGCTCGTATAATCTGAAATCTTTTTAATCACAAGGGAATATCTGCCTATATTTTCAATGTGAAATATAATGGTGTTTATTGATAAAACATGCTGTTGCCACATCAACTACAGAGAGCACCAGACACTGAGCAACACATGTGGGAAAAAGTCCGAAAAGTCGACATAAACACGACTTAATCTACAACTTCCCACGAGGGCAGTCTGTAAAAAACAACGCCATGCAGAAATTGGGCTGCTGTGTGACCCCCTTTTTTCTTTTTACCCGTCTCTCTCCATGGTGCTGAAGCCCCTGATTCTGGACGGGACCGCAGAGCGTTTTTTTTCTGAGCGTCTGTTTGGGCGAATGCTGCTCATAAGAATTCAGCCTCTTACGGGTGGAGTCATACTCCGATGTCTGCTTCAATAAAAGATCAGATTAGAGCTGGGTAAGCCGAGCTTTTGTCAATATCCCAGTAATCTTGTGTGCTCAACTTTCGTCGGCTTTCTGTGTGAATCTGAGTTATTTCTCTCCAATTGCCGGTAATGAAAAGATAAATACGATTACTCGCAAGGACGATTCAAATTAATTTCTTTGTACATTTATCACATTTTTTTATTATTCTTGACACACTTCCTCAGCTGTTAACTATAGTGCTGATTAACAGTGAGGTATGATTGCTTAATTATGAGATTATCCAATTAAATTCTGCATTCATAAACACACAAGGACGCAGATGAGTAGGAAAATTTGATTTGTGGTTGAATCATGTGTCCTTTTTTCTTTTTTACACTCTGAAATCAACACCTCGCTTTTACATGAACTTCACTGACTTTGAAACCTTAATCAAGTCTACTTCGCCCGTTCCCTCGCCAGCTTTACAGTCCTGTCTATAGATAGATTTGTTTTACGTCAGATTAGGTCACCTCTTTACGACGGAAGCAAATGTGGAGATGAATTGCTGTTTCCGAAACAGTACCCTCTCCTCTCCCTTCCGGGATGTCAACACAGACTCCTGGTATACGCGCTCAGAGATAGATGCTTATGCGCCCAGAAGCCATCCCCTGACTCCTCATTACGGACTGCAGCCCACATAGAAGCCTTTCAAGGTTTGCACACACTCCTCTTTTGGCTGTGATGCGGCGTTTGTGTTGTTTCTCCTGCCGTGGCTGCAGGGATGAATATGTAACAAGAGGGGCTCGGTTGTTTGGACTTTAACCAGCCAGGCACATACGGGGGGACGAAGTAGCCTCAGGACTGAATGCATTATCTGATTTTCAGTGGATAGATCCAGTGACTGACTGAATATTGATGCCATCTTAAGAAAATTCTATTAAACTTTAATCTTTCCCTTCTGCCTTCTGATCCCTAATTATAATAATAATACAGCCTTCAGAGCTGCCAGCACTGCTCCTGTAATTAAGAATCAAACCACGGTACAGTCACAGTTTTATTTTTAGCCACGAACAGCTACTAAGTGCAACAGGATGGCGCGATCCCGCTGACAAGTGTGAACGCCTCGGCCAGCTCCGTGTCTTTTTCTTTGGTTTCCTGTTAGAGGAGGCACAGATGGAGCGAGAGGACTCAAATGGGGCTTCATTCATCACACGGAGGAGGGCTGTTATGAAGCCATCTGCCTCTTGTTATGCGATCTGGAAGCTCCGCTGCTCTGTGGACGGGCTGATTCACCGAGTAACTGATGTGTGGTTCTACTTTTCCGGCTTGTTTATGAGCATTTTAACGCTTCCCCGTTAGTGAAATAGTGGCCTTCCTCCGGCTTTGTTCGAGGTCATATTACAGCTCTTTGCCAAGTCTTTATTGGTCGCCTTGCTGCCTTTCAGTGATTTGGTTAAGAAACCAGATAATGCTTCAAAATGTCAATTTTTTCAGCTCACTGTTTGGAGAGCGGGGTTTCCGCAGCTCCACGGCTTTTCATCTGATGCGAGAACACAAGCCCATTCATCCACACTGTGCCCAGAATTAATCAGCCTTTTTTTTTGTTCTAGAAGGAGCTCCTTTAAACCATTCACAGCAGTAAGAACGAGCCTCCCCAGGGAGGAAGGGGGGGCTCCCCAGGGGCTGAACAGGCAGAGGCAGGAGAGAGATAGCCCTAAAAGAAAAAGATGTGTAGAAAAGGAGGCTAAGAGGGAAAAGGAACAATTAGGATACCTTTGTTTTTTTTGTTTTTTTTTGTGATTCAAAAGCAAAACTAGTCGGGAAGTTTTTGCTTGAATGTCTAAATGTTTAAATGTGTGTTACTTTATTGATTTTTCAGATTTTTGCTGAATGTTACAAGAGGCTTTGTTGAATCTGAAAATCGTCTCAAGTATTCAGATGACTTTTTTCCAACAAAATGGAAAAGTGTTTCTGTTCATTTAGCCAATTTGTAACTAACCAATTTGACAGGCCAGTGCATTGTTTAAGCATTCGTTCACGTTAGTGTGTTTGTTCCCTGATGGTCAGTAATCCAGAAGGTCAAACGTGACGGAGACAGGTGGTCAATAAAGTTCATTTGAGGGGATTCAAGTCTCTCTTGAGATGCATCTGCCCATTTCATTCACTTTCGCTGGAATAGTGGTTTGATCAGAAGTGCTCTGTCTGCAAAGATACATAAATAAATAAAAGATTAAACAAGTATATTTATTTTTTATCCGGGAAGCTCATAAATCAGAATTAAATCAATTGACTTCTGTGGAAGAAGACACACACACACAGCTGCCCACTGGGCTCACAGTGATATCATAAATAATTCATTAAAAAAAAGAAAATAGGTTTCTTTTACCCTCCGGTTTTAGATTCGAAACCTGTTTATGCATTTGAGAAACCTTCAGTCCATATCTTGTGGTTGCCTAATCATTTCCACGGGGGGCGGTCTGCATACCGTATTGTTTACAGTTTCATGTGGAAATTGTAAACCATAAAATATTTTCCAGACAATGCCGCATCGATCCAGTGTCTCTTACCGATGCCTAAAAGATGCCTTTATTGAACCGGCTCAGAGTGGACGCCGGTCAGTGTGAGCTTTCCACGCGTGGAGTTCTGTGAAACCCGGTCAGGAGAAGGCATCTGAACAACACGACAGCCCAGCTTTTTGTGCGTTCCTCACACTGCCTGTTGGCTCTGTTTTGATTCCCTCAATCAGGCCTCGGCGCCTGTATCGCGACTGGTCAGCTCCCGGCGCCGTGAAAACCTGTGTCAGGAAAATGGGAACACTGTGTCTATCGATCAGGGTGAAACATCAGCCCACACGAGCAGGAATGGACCAGTCCAGCGAGCGAGCAGGTTGTGGGTCCAGAGAAATGGTTCCCCCCTTTGTAATGCCTTTTTCCCCCCTCAGGCGTTCGGCCAGGCCTACAGCAACCAGCGCAAGGTGGCCGAGGATGGGGAGAGCAACGAGGAGACGCTGCTGCGGGAGTCGGCCTCCAAAGAGGCCTACTACGTGGGCCGCCTGCTGGAGCTGCAGACGGAGGTGACGCTGAGCCGGTCGGTGGCGTCCAACGCCCAGGCGGAGAACGAGAGGCTGACCGCACTGGTCCAGGACCTGCGGGAGGTGAGTCTGCCGGAAAGCCGACTTCCAGGATCGCAGCGTAAAAAAACAACACATTTGATTGTGAAGAGATTCATCAGTTGGACATTTATTTTTTTAATTCTTTTTTTTTTTTTTTTTAACTTTGTTTATTGAACATTTTATCGAACATAAGACATAAGACATAGTTGGGACAAATTCAAAGCAATTCAATTGCAATTCAATGCAATCCTCAATGTCACAGTTCTGTCAACCCCCAATCCACCCTGACCACCCACCCCACCCACAGGCCAAAAAATAAATAAATAAATAAATAAATAAATAAATAAATAAATAAATAAATAAATAAATGAATAAATGAATTAAAATAAAAAAAAATTAAAAAAAGTATAAATAGATAAAAAGTATAAAGAGAAAAACAGATTAAATTTTTTTTTTTTTAAAAAGGGTAAACATTAATGTAAATGTAGATAGATAAGTAGAGATCATGTTAGACATTCAGGTATCCTCAGGGTCAAGAAGATTCAAAGAGTCAAAATATCTACGAAAAGGGTCCCATGTAGTCTGAAATAAACTTGATAGAGCCTCTAAGAGAAAACTTAATCTTCTCTACTTTGAGGTTGTAAAGCCCCTCTCGAATCCAACGGACATGTGAAGGGGGTTGAGAATCTTTCCAGTTAAGTAAGATCAACCTACGAGCTAAAAGCGTGGTGAATGCTATAGCCCGCTTCATTCCTTTAGGTAAGTTAGTAGTAGGGGGGATTCCAAAGATTGCAGACATTGGATTGGAGACAACCAGAGAACCATGTGCTTCAGACAGTGAATTAAAAATCCCTGTCCAGAATAGTTTCCACTCGGGACTTGACCAAAACATGTGTGAGTGATTGGCAGGTGAGACTTTACGTCTGCCACAGGCATATTGTTTTATTCTAATATCAAGATTTGTGCTCATTATAGTTAGCCAAGATGTCATTTTTGAACTAATTTGTTTTCAGATCGAAATCTGCATTGTGTGAAATAAGATCTTAATCTTAGTTGAGCTAACATGCACATCTGTATTCGGTCATCCATGCAAAGGGAAAGAATGCTTTCATGTTGTGTGCCAATTTGGCTAATTACCACACGATTTGCCTCACATTCAGGGTTTTTAAAGAATTTAGCAAACTGTAAAAACACTTTAGGGTCATTAAATTGTTAGTTTTTTTTTTCATTTCAAAGGAGACTTTTTCACAACTGCTTGTAAAAATCGACATGACTTTTGCGTGAATAGTAAAGAGGAAGAGGTCCCCCCAGATGGATGCTACATGTATGCGCATGGTCACTGCGCCGGGGAATCACCGGAGTTCAGGCCGGGGTCAGACACGGCGGCCACGACCCCATTGTGTGGGGGCAAATCCGGTGCTAAGCTGTGGACTAAGCGAAATGCCCTGAGCTCGGCACATGTGCAGAGACGGAGTGAGCCACATTCAACCACCAAAGGCACTCTCATTCAATAAAAATCGAACAGGGAGGGTCGTGTCGGAGGCGTGCAAAGTAATGAGTTCACAGATCCAAACACCCCACATGCTGGAGCCTTTCGATTTGGAATGTAATTAGCCTGAGTCAGTCTTTGAGGCCCAAAAATAACCTGCTTGGACCTCACCGTTTCCCTTTGATGACATATTTATAAAGTGCCCTTTGCTTCTCTGTGAAATCCATGATACATGCGATGCCCATTCAAGAGGAAAAAATGTCCCATTGGGCCTTTAATTAAACCGTTTTGGGATATTCTTGCAGCATTTACACATAAGATTAAGGCAGACTGGTGTTCAGGAGCCGATGGGATTTGCTGAGCTGGGAAAAATGGTCCGTCAGCGTTTGTGAAATACATGCTGCGTTGTAATTAAGAAATGGTGTTCAAAATCCCGGCGTAGGAATTTCGAACTGACAAAAATAAGTTCAGGTTCTTCCCCAGAGCCCGGCGGAAAGTCCTTCAGTGTAGGTGTTTAAAGTTTATGAGCCATCGGTTTAGGATGAGCTGATGAATAAAATATGTATGTGTGGATGCTCTTAGTAGACTATATTTCCATTATCTCAGCAAAAAAACATTCATTTTTACAAACATTTTAACACAGGACTTTGTCATTAGCTCCCCCATTACTACAGCAGCAGGGATTTTAGGTGTCCCATCCCGAATCGGTCAAAGCTTTTAGATTCATGCTGAGCTGTGAACACCAGGTCAGAGGTTTGGACCAGCAGGCCGGCCAGGTCCACAGGCCCAGAGCCAGAGCTGTGTCCTGCTCCGGCCCTGACCCCGGCTGCTGCAGCCCCTGATGGGATGTGTCCCTCTGCAGCCCAACCCAGATGGGTAATAGGCCTCTTGTTCTGTGCACTTCATAGACTGCGAAATTTCAGTGTAATGTCCTGTTTTGTCCAGAAAATGTAATCATCAACACGTCATACAGGCGTGTTATTATGGGTGCCAATGCCTGAGGTACTATATAAAAACCTAACCTACATTGTATATTAATTATAAGAAAACACAATTACCTGTTTTTATTGCGATGAAAGTATAATTTATTATAATTTAATTTGATGCATCAAAACCTTTGGGCATTTATCTCTACTTGCATCAGGTGCAAGTAGATTTTTTTTTTTAAATCATGTTTCTAAAAATAGAGCCTTTTTTTTTTTTTAACAAAATTTGTATTATTTTTTCCGAAATAATACAACGTGGTACGAATGTACATGTGTATTTTTACATTTTTAAACATAAAAAAAACAAAACACAAACAGGGTGATTTCAAGAGTGTGAGAAGAAACAAAACAAAACAAAAAAAACCTTATTGCATAATTAGTGGAACGACAGGTCTCCAACAATTATTGAATATGGAAATAGAGCCTATTTAGAGGACGAGTTATGCGATTATGCTGATTTCCTTTTCAGCTCAGCAGTTCAAAACATCCACGTCACGATTCCCCAAAATGCTCGGCTGTGTCTTTATCAATGCTGCCTTCGGCCTCATTTGCTTCGGTATTATGGGATCTGCTGTCAGCCGCTGAACTGTTCAGAAGATAGTGTTCTTTAGCATCAGTATCCAGAATGGTTTGGGTTGTTTTTTTTTCTATGTGTCTCCGCTCTCTAAGTTTCTCCCCCCACCCCGCCCCGGTGTACTCACCCACCCACTGCTGATACTGTCTCTGGGTCAGCATTTCTGCCATATGCTCTGTGCATCGAGCTGCAGGGAGCTCTGCAGCAATCCCAGCGCGCACACGTGCACGAATATATTCTGCAAATGTCTCTGTATTCACTTGATTATTCCTTCTCTCCCATCATCCTGCCGGTTTATGGTTGTTCTCATATTAGGCCACATCTCCATATAGAAATAGGAGCATCCGGCTTTTCATTTGTGGTTAAGCTGTCAGCAAACTAGGGTAAAAAAAAGGAAAAAAAATAACTGGTTTGACAGACACACGCCATCAACAGGTAGGAGGCCTCATAACTAGCATGTTTGAAGTCCAACAAAATGAGCATCTTCCCGCTCCCCCCCCCCCCTTTTTTGTGGGCACACAAGAGTTTGCTGACATCTCAGATTTCAAACTCTGCAGAGCAGCTCAGGCTAAATATATTTTGTGACTTTTCCATCGACAACTTTCCCGTACCGTCTCTGTAGGCCGGGTTACCCGAACTAACGATGTTTCTGTGTGCCCCAAAGATGCTGAGTCATCTGTTTAAGAGGCTTTCACTTGTCTATAAACTCCTGCATCCTTATGTTGTTATGGAGCAGAGGTATCGACACCGTACTTACCTGAATATAGAGAGGAATGGAAGAAAATGCTTTGTCAGCATGCTAAGTCATGCTAGTTAGCTCAAAGAGAGCATAACGAACCTTTGCATGCCTTCTAATCGTTTATTTTGTGTCAGATGCTATAGAATTGATTAAATGCAGTTTCACTCTTTTTTTGTTCGTCCTCCTCCTCTTTCTCTCTGCTTTTTCATGCCCATCTCTCCCCCTGCTGGTCTGTTTCCAACCCTACAGAGCAACGAGATACTGGAGCAGCAGCGCGGTCGGATGAGAGAGGAGATCAAGGAGTGCAAGTTCAGAGAGACCCGGCTCCTTCAGGATTACACGGAGCTGGAGGAGGAGAACATCACGCTGCAGAAGCTGGTGTCCACTCTCAAGCAGAGCCAGGTCCGTACAGAGACCCTCACGGCTTTTGGGTTTAACAATATTCGTACTTTTTCCATTCGGAAATTCCATTCGGTAAAGATCTGCCATCGCTTTTTCGAGATGAGACTCAACTGAGGCCAACTTTATCTGCAGAACCGGTTACAGAAAGGATTGGTTCTACAGGCCCCTCGACAGCTTCATCACTACGCTTTCCTCCCGTAGAGAAACACACTGTTCCCCGTCCAACACACTGAGGCTAAATACTGAATATTGAACAGAGATGATGTAACCCGGGTTCAAATTCCAGTATGACGTCATCATAACGATAGATAATCTGCTCGGGCACACACTGGCCTCAAAGATTAGCATATACCCCCAATTTACTGCAGATCTGAAATCTTTGTGACCTGGGATTGGGCCGCCCTAATGCAAATAAGCAATTCATCTCTCCTTTTTTTTCTTAGCTTAAACCTCCTCTTTTCAGCTTCTTTCCCCGTGTCTGCTGTGCCTCTCTCCAGGTGGAGTACGAAGGGCTGAAGCACGAGATCAAGGTGCTGGAGGAGGAGACCGTCCTCCTCAACAGCCAGCTGGAGGACGCGCTGCGCCTGAAGGAGATCTCCGAGGGCCAGCTGGAGGAGGCCCTGGACGCGCTCAAGAGCGAGCGCGAGCACAAGAACAACCTGCGGAAGGAGCTGGCCCACCACATCAGCCTGAGCGACAGCGTCTACGGGGCCGGGGCCCACCTGGCCCTCACCGTCACCGGGGTGGAGGGCCTGAAGTTCCCCGAGGACATGGCGGCCGCCGCCGTTGGGGCCGTTGGGGCCGGGGCGGCGCCGGTCGCCAACGGCAACCCGGAGGACAGCAACCGCTGCAACGGCCACCACCACCACGCCGGCCCGGGGCTGGCCAAGATCAACGGGGACTACCGCGCCAACCGGAAGGGGGAAGGCCTCGTGCCCGACCTGTTCAGCGAGCTCAGTCTGTCCGAGATGCAGAAGCTCAAGCAGCAGCTGCTGCAGGTGGGTCAGGAAAAGACCTCCATAGTGGATCAAAACCTCACAGTTCAACTCTAAAATCCCTAATTGGGATTAAATAGCCGTGCACAGCATATTTGAGGACCGCTCCATCCATCGATCCACGCTCCCACATCATATTTCAGTTCCTAATCTAAAGGGGTCTGACAGCAGTACTGTCAGAGGTCTATATATAGAAGGCATGGCACCAGGACAGCCGTAGATCACAGGTGTGCTAAAATCAAATAAAGTAATCACAGTTCGTTTTCGTCTCCGCTGAGCTCCAGTGGAAAACGCTAAATTAAATTAGCGTTTGCATATGAGCGGTGTTGCTTTTCTCGGTTAACACAATTACCACCCTCATCAATCCTATCCTCCGGACTGATAAGTCTGGGAAGGCTGTCAACACCAGCAGCATGATATGCTTCTCGAATTAGAAATAAATCAATTTGGGTCTTTGTTGCAAGGAACTGAAATTGGATGTTTAGTTAATGCTAGCGTTTCTTTCTAGTGTTTTTGGTAAATGAGTTGGATCCATACAGGTGACACATGCTGCAATTTATCAGAAAGGAGCAACAGGGCTGATTTTTTTCCAGCAAATTTTGCAAAAATCCATTCAAATCGTGTGTCAGGACACGGCTTTGTGTAATCAGGAACACACTGGCACATAGATAGTTGTTATAGTCTTTTTTGGGACAGCAAAGTTGTTTATTTTTTGTGCGTCTCGCTGTTTTTCTACGATCTCTGAGTCTATGAGTTGTTTTTGTTAATGTAACTCGTCAGACAGAAGGCCAAAAGGTGATATCCCCTTTTTTCCCTGTTTTGCCCGGGCAGGTGGAATGCGAGAAGGCGGCGCTGCTCATGAACCTGCAGGAGTCCCAGACCCAGCTCCAGCACGCGCAGGGCGCCCTGTCGGAGCAGAGCGAGCGCGTGCGGCGCCTCACCGAGCGCGTCAACGCCGTCCAGCACCTGAACGGGGACAAGGAGCTGGACGACCCGCAGGAGAGCGAGAAGGCCGACGGGAGCCCCTCGGCTGACGAGCGCCCGGACCCGGACATCCACGGCTTCCAGGTGCTGGAGTGCAAGTACAAGGTGGCGGTGACCGAGGTCATCGACCTGAAGGCGGAGCTCAAGGCCCTCAAGGAGAAGTTCAACCAGGCCGTGGAGGGCCAGGTGGACGGCCACAACGACGACAGAGTCCAGGCCCTGAGCGAGCAGGTCCGTGGTCATGTTTATGTTTATGTTTATGCCTTTGGTAGACGCTTTTATCCAAAGCGACTCACAGAGTAGACACAATATTACATTTCTCATCACTATGACGATAAGCTCTACAGAGGAGAAACACTGATCAGAGTCAGGGGTGAGATAGAGGTAGACGTAGAGGGACTACAGAATGAGCTGTGGGGGGGTAGAGGTACGGGTTAGGGTTAGGATAGGAGATGCTCTTTGAAGAGGTGGGTCTTCAAGAGATAGAGGTAGAGGGACTACAGAAGGAGTTGTGGGGGGATAGAGGTAGGATATGAGATGCTCTTTGAAGAGGTGGGTCTTCAAGAGTTTCTTGAAGACAGACAGGGACTCTGCTGTTCTTGTGGCGCTTGGTAGGTCGTTCCACCATCTTGCAACGACACATGAAAACAGTCTGGATTGTCTTAAGCGTGGTGAAGGCACTGCTAGACGACAATCCATTGATGACCGGAGGTCCTCAAGGTCTAGGTCTTCAAACTGACCGGAGGGGTTTATCTTTCTCTCCCTCTCTCTCTCTTGATCAGATTTCCCACTTGGAGCGGGGCTTCCGGGACAGCCGGGAGAGGGCGGCGGGCCTGGAGGCGGAGCTCCGGGCGGCGGCGCTCACGGCCACGGAGAGCCAGGGCATGCTGAACGCGGCGCAGGACGAGCTGGTCACCTTCAGCGAGGAGCTGGCGCAGCTCTACCACCACGTCTGCCTGTGCAACAACGAGACGCCCAACCGGGTCATGCTGGACTACTACCGGCAGGGCCGGGGCCGCCTCAAGGGCCCCGAGGACCCCCGGGCCCTGCTCTCCCCGCGCCTGGCCCGCCGCCTGGCCGCCGCCGCCGCCTGCCCCCCCGACCCCCCGGGCGAGGCGGCGCCCAGCCCGGCGGACTCCCCCTCACACCACGGCAGCCCCGGACGCAACCACCCCGGCTCCCCGGGGGTCAGCGTCTCGCCCTGCCCCTCGCCGGGGCCCCCGGACGCGGGCGGGGACCTCCGGAAGGAGCCCATGAACATCTACAACCTCAACGCCATCATCAGAGACCAGATCAAACACCTGCAGCGGGCGGTGGACCGCTCGCTGCAGCTGTCCAGGCAGAGGGCGGCGGCCAGGGAGCTGGCGCCCATGCTGGACAAGGACAAGGAGTCCTGCATGGAGGAGCTGCTCAAGCTCAAGTCCCTGCTCAGCACCAAGAGGGAGCAGATCGCCACGCTCCGGCTGGTGCTCAAGGCCAACAAACAGGTGAGTAGCGATGCGATTCCAGAAAAGGCCGCCGGGCATCACTTCAGTCCAGGATAACTCGTTCAAATTGTCCCCGGTTTTTACAGACGGCGGAAAACGCCCTGGCCAACCTGAAGAGCAAGTACGAGAACGAGAAGGCCATGGTGAGGGAAACCATGATGAAGCTGAGGAACGAGCTGAAAGCTCTGAAGGAGGACGCCGCCACCTTCTCCTCCCTCAGGGCATGGTTCGCCACCAGGTGAGGGGCGGCCCACTGAGATTTGGGGAAAAATACGTGTTTTTTTGTCTGAATAAACACTCTTCCCCGCTCCCTTTAGGTGCGACGAGTACGTCATCCAGCTGGACGAGATGCAGAGGCAGCTGGCGGCCGCAGAGGACGAGAAGAAGACTCTCAACTCCCTCCTCCGGATGGCCATCCAGCAGAAGCTGGCCCTGACCCAGCGGCTGGAGGATCTGGAGTTCGACCACGAGCAGACACACCGAGGCCGCGGCGCCAAAGTGCCCAAGATCAAAAGCAGTCCGCCAAAAGTAAGAGATACCCTCACGTTCCCCGAACACCATTAAGAAATAGGAAAAAAAATTAGCTTTATTAGGAATGGAGAAAGGAGGGAGGGGCCTGGTTCATATAGACTCTTTCCCAAAGGTCATCAAAGAGTGCATGTTATAAAGACAGGGGGGGAGGATGGAGATTGTGTGAAATAAGATGGGGGGGGGGGGGGGGGGGGGGGGGGTTGAGTGGTTTCATGTTTCTTTGGTTTGAACATGCAGCAGCACCCAGGAAGGAGGAGCTGCTGACACAAATCTGTCCCCAAAGCATCAACACGACAGCACCAAACACCCGTCCTCAGGAGTCAGGCTGATTGGATTTGACAACAAACACCGATTCAAAACCAGGAGAAAATTCCCCATGTTTGACGTGTGGCACAGCTAATTTGTGACATGTTTCCTTGAGAGAAATCTATTGATGCTAACATCGCTTCAGTTTTAGGGGCTCACAGCACATCCCTGAAGAATATTAAATAATATAACATCTTAGATTTGACTCATTTAAGTGTCACAGAAAAACATTCCTGACTTTATTATGTAATCAATCTGAGAAAAAAGAAAGCATTTTAAAAACTAAAGTGTATGACATGTTTAATCTGGTTCTTAAAGCAGTGTGAAAACTACTCAAACCTCACTGGGACTTTTTCTTATAATAAATGAAAAACAATCCACTCCCACATGGATGAAAAACACATTTAAACGAGACTTTGAAAACAATACTTTTTTTGACCGTACGATCCCAGTTCTCACCACTAGATGGCGACATTTGAATGCATTTTTGCATCTTCCCTTCAAACTGAAGGTTTTACTTTTTATCTACTTTTTTTTATTAACTATACCTCAACGTTGACAACAGTCTGATGGTCTTTTTATATTTACTTGAAGATTTCCGTGTTTTTTTATTTGACTTTACTCTTTTATTTGTATGTGGGTTGTCTAGTGTTGGTTCAGATGTGTCTGTGTCTTTGTCCACCTGCAGTGCTAATTTGTTTTAAGGTGTACAGAGACTGATCCATCGAATGCAGTCCGGTAGACCGGTGCACATGATGGGCGTCAGCCCCCCGGATCAGTTCTGTGAATCTCTGTGAAGTAACATGTGGCTTTCGGTCTCATCCCTCAGACGAGGCCTTCCCCTGTCTTGTCCACCCTTGTCCACCCTTGTCCTGTTTTCTAACCCCGAGTGTCACCTCTCTGTACATTTGTCTAATTTATCAGTTTCTTGTAGATTGTCAGCAGCCTGCTGCCTCATTACCGACACTCTCCCCACAACTAAGGCGAGGGAGAGCCTCCCTAGCTCGCAGGTAACAAGAACCTGTAGATGCTGCTAGTATCTGTAGAAGAACTCACATTTCTTGGAGAAGCACAACTCTATCTTGATATGAATCCTGCATGTTCTAGGTATTCACACTCACGTCTTGTGATAATGGACGAACGGCACATTGCATAGTAGCGTTGTATGATAGTGATTATGGCTTCATACTGGATGAAGGAGGGATGGTGTTGTCATGTGGTTTTGCATGACTTTTTTGTGCAGAAATGACATATTTGATATGATTTCCACCTCTACTTTCACCAGTATGAATTTTTATAACACAATATCAGGTCATTTAGGTTTGTAATTGTCCCAAATTTGTGCAATACTGAAATTTGAAATGACAGATTGATTTACGTTCCACATTTTATACATCCTATTTAGCTTCTGTAAACATGAGTGTGTCCACTTTAAATGAATGGCAAAAAGCACTTTAGGTTTGATTATTATCTAATTTACAAATAACTTAAAGCTTAACCATATCTTTTAGAATGTTCCCACAGACCAAATTTTTTCCAAGGAATTATTATAATGCAAATCAAAATGATTTAGCAGGTATTTTATGGAAACTAGTGCTGTCGACTGGTGAAATGAAGCTGTTTTGTCACAATTATCAAAGCGTGTTTTAAGAAAAGATTTTTTTATAAAAGCTCTTTAAAAAAAGATCAACTCAAACGGTTAGACACAAGCTTGCATCAGTCATGTTTTGGGCTTCTGATGCAGCCTAAATCACAGAGAACATTTTGTTCACGGATAAAAATGCAATTGGATTAAATACCTGCCATTTCTGAGAGCCGGAGCCAGACATCTGTAAAGCAGCTGAGGGCAGGTATGAGATTAGACTTCTACAACAGGACCAGGATCGGTAGTTCACTCAGAACCTGTAAGGAACGATTGTATCATCCACAAAATAATCCAACCAAAAATTCAAAATCATTGGTTAGACCGCAATACAAAAATACGTATCGAGCAATTTAAGAGTCTGTGGAGAGCTGGAAGTCTTTTGTAAAGAGGAACAAGTCAAACATTCCCCCCAAAAATCTAAATTTGTCCAAAAACCTTCCTTTTAAATGTCTTTTAATTCTAATATCGGTGACAACAAAACCTTGTAACCAGTAGATGCCCATCTTTCTCATTCAATTATAATAAAATATTCAGAATATGAATTCTTCATAATCAGTGTAGTTATAGGACAATGGAGAGTTGACAAATAAAGATGTCCTTCTTTATTCACGCTGTAATGAACGTCCAGGGCAACTGCTGATAAATCTGATGTTTTGATTGTGTTCGTTAGTTTTGCTTTCAATCCTGTTCTGATCCACATGTGTTCTCACCTGATACTCTGTCCTGGTTTAAAGGAAACGTCTCCTGTGTCTCTCACATGGTTAAACAGAGTTTTGTTTTGTTCAATTTTCCAATAACAACTTATCTTTTGGTTTTGCTAAATTTAGTTCACTGGGTTGTTTTTACTCACTGAATATAAAGCGGTCTTTAGCCGGTTAGCTCAGAGTTTAGCATCAACTGGAGATAGGAAGTAGCTAGCTTGTTTGGCTGTGTCTTTCGAAAGTTTTTCTTTGTTTACTCCTTAATCAGAAGATCCAGACTAACTAATACCTGACAGAAACTTCACACTCAGAGAGCCAGGCTGGAAACGGGTGCAGGTCATCCCCTCATTTAAAAACAAAGATACCTAGCTCTTTGTTGGGAAGTTTTTGGGGTTCTTTCGCCTTCCTGCCTTAGACCTGTGATTCAGGACTTAGACCAGACTTTTTGCTTTTTGCACATTTCTTATTTTTGCTTGCATGCCTGTCACAACCTTATCCCCCCCAAGCAGTATTTATTCGTCCTTTTAATACAGCCAACAGCCAATCAGACCTCCCGTTGGCCGGCGTTCCCTTATTCTTGGTTTTTATTCTTGGTTTCTGCCCCTTTTCCAGTCCTAAGTTCGCAGCAGACCTTCAGGATGACCGGTCCGTTCTGTCCGGCGGCCGGCTGGCTCTGTCCCCCTGTGACCCGCGGACCTGCCTGGCCCGCCCGGCCCCCCCGCCCGGCACCTGACCCCCACCGCTCCCCAAACCAGACCTGGTCCCGGGTCCGCCCTGAACGGGGGGGTGGGGTATCCTCCCTGGACCCCAGTCCCCCCCCCCTAAAAGGACCTCAGGCCTCCCGGTCAGCCGGAAGAGGAGCCGGACGCTCCCCCGCTTCCATGGAAACAGAAAAACTGACCTGAGGCGGAAATGGCGGCGCTAATTCGAACCTACAACCACTTATTTATTTATTTACTCTGTTGGTTATTTATTTATGAGATTTATTATATTGCTTGTACGTTCTTGTGGGGGTTTTTCTGTCAGTCCGCAAGGCCGAATATGAAACTTGTTCTCCTACTGTGAGACTGTTTAGTATATTCACATCACGGCCTGGTTTTTATTTCTTTCCACCAAAGAAAAGTGATCAGAACTTTGCTTTTTAAAATCTTGCACTACCATCCTACTCAGCATTAAAATAGCTTTTGTCAGTATGAAAATCCCAAAAATAAAAACCCGCATATGGGAGTTTTTTTGTTACCTAGGATAGTTGGAGTACAATGATTCTGACATTGCCAACAGACTAATGAAGGTTCACGACTTTAATGCGAGACAATGTTTTTTCTTTTCTTCGTTTTTGTGGCGATTTTTTGGTGACGGATGGGATTTTCCACTGCCTTTCTTTCATTAGCCTTTCTTGGGATGATTTTTTACACAGATTTTTGTTTTTGTTGTTTTGCAAATTCATTTTTTTTAAAAAGACTGTTTTATACCTCTTTTTGTTTTTTGTTTTCTTCCTTTTTATAGCAGAATCTGGTGATGTGTTTGCATCTCTTATGTAGATCAGATATCCTAAGATTGGGATAAATGAGATATGCGTTTGAGATCAGGACAAGGCCAATTGGCTTTTTCTTTCATTTCCTTTGAATTGCACAGGTTGAAGTAACCATTGAGTGGACTGACCTCCTTCTTTTTAAACATTAGTTAAACAGAAATGACCATTGTTTCCCCAAGTATCACGATTAATTTAAAGAATCATGAAATTAACTCGAGCTGACATTTTCAGTGACCTGAGCTACACTTATTTGTTATCACATCTTCTTGTTTAGTCTCCATGTGCTTCCTCCAAACAGAATGTAGTTCAGTACAAGCACAATTATGCAGTAAGCATCGGAGCAATACACTAACACTGGTCCCAGGCTGATCTGGAAAACATTCACATCCTCCTCCTTTACTGGTCCAACCAGCAGGCGTGCCCCAAACTTTTCCAGTTTATTTCCTGTGAAAAAAATCCATATACATGTCTCTTTTTGAAAGACTGAGATGGATGTAAGTTATACTTGTAATCTAAGTCCCATCTTTACATACTTTTCCTAAAGGCTGACATTTCTGGTGATAAATCTCTCCTCGCTGCACTGATACTTTTACCATAAGGATATCCAACCTGAAACTACAAAGCCAGTATTAATGTTGTCCTGATAGCATTTCTGTGACGATGGTGAGGTGACTTCCTGTTTTCCGTGCGTGTGCATTCGTTGGATTTGTGTCTGTGTCCGTCGTTACTTTTGCAACTGCAGCGTTTGTGGTCCAAAAAGTAGCCTCTGAATCCGTGCAGGCTCCTTAACTCTCTTGGTTTATTTGCACAACACGACTGTGGATGAAGAGAGACTAATCTAATGACTAGAAGAAAAAAAAGGGTTTGAAAAAGAATGCTAGCTGTATGCTGTACTGAGCAGGTTTTACAGTGATGAACTGGTTTCTCTTGCAAATAAAAAAAAAGGTCCTTTGTGTCTGTTTTTGTTCTTTATGGACTGTAGAAGATACTGGACATCTGAGAGCAACATTTGTGTCTCAACAATCCTCATTTTGCCATCCATCCATCCATTATCGTGACCCCTTATTTCCTAATGGGGTCGTGGGGAGAACTAGACCCTATCCCAGTGGTCAAAGGGCAAGAGTCCCAGTCCATCACAGGCCCACACAGAGACACACAAGGTCCAACAACTACGCACACTCACACTAAGGGCAGTTTGGAGTGTCCAATCAACCTAACATGCAGGTTTTTGAACCCACAGACACAGGGAGAACATGCAAACTCCACCCAGAAAGGTCCTGGTTCCCCCGGACCCAACCTTCTTGCTGTAAGGCGTCAGTGCTAACCACCACACCACCACGCCGCCCTCATTTTGCCATATTTCCATTATTTTCTGTACATAAACATCAACATAAATCAAATGTGTTGCACTCTTCAGGGATGATTTTAACCTGCACCACAAGAGAAGCAGCAGATAGGAGGGCCTTCCTCTTTTTTTCAGTGTTTAATACACTTTTGCAGGATACAGTGTGAATACTAATAAAAAAAATAAAAAATAATAAAAAAATAAGTGTAAAACCCTTTTTCTGCTCAGATAATTGTTTTAAAAAGATTATAAATCTACTGGTAAAGTTTTTGTTTATTTGCAAATATAACATTTTTAGTGAGAGTTTTTTTTATTTATTTTAAACTGGGTTTTTTCTCCAGGCCTAAGTTTGAGTGTTTGGTGTTGCTTCCACCTTGCTGGACATCCAGATCCTGTCCGGAGGAGGAGAGCTCCGCACCAGCAGTGCGCGCGGAGGCCAAATGCGGGCGGGGCTCGGGGCAACACCCCCCCAGCCAAGGTGACATTGGCGCGAGACCTGAGTGGATCCCGTGGGCTGGGTCGACCGCAGAAACGCTGCCGTTTTTACGGAACCGGGCCCGGTCTCCGGTGCTCCTGGATGCCATTGGCCCGGACCGGACGCAGGATCGGCCGGACGGAGGCGCGTCCGGGCTGCCGCCGCGCAGCTGGACTTGACTCTGATTTGTTTCATTAAACTTACCGTTCTCTCCTCGGCCGTGAACGATTGCCTTATTGGCGGGCAGTCCTCATGGTTGAACGGTCGGAGTCTCAGAAAAACATGGAGGGCTTTAACAGAGTCGCTTTTCGCAGGAAACAGCGAAGTCTGGATTCCGCGGAGCGACAAGCAACAGGTGAGTTTACGGGGGATTTTAAATCAAATGCTGGTTTCTGCGAAGTGATTTCTTAGCCGTTCTTTTTTTTATTTCGTTAATCCTCCTCGGGCTTTTGTTTTTTCCTGACTCGCTGCGTATTTACGAGCCCACGGAGAATTGGCCCGGTGAACTCCCCGTGCGCAGTCATGTGTGCTTTGGCTCACTTTATGACTTGATGGCTGTTATACGAGATGCCGGACTCGGCCACCACGAGTTTCACTCAAGTTTGGGTTAGACAGCAAGTATTGGCTTTAGTTGAAGCCACCGGCCCACCTAAATTCATGTTTACGCGCAGTGTTTGGGTGGAATGAGGCTTTTCCAAGGCAGGTTCGGACCTGCTGTGAAACCATCTGCAGGCCGGGGGCCACGTTTTCTTCAAGCTTGAAGAACATTTAATCATTTCATAATCATGTCATATAACTTTGCCTGCTTAAAATACCTCTCCAAGATATATGTAAATAACTTTTTGTGAAATTTCTTTAGTTTTCGCACGGATTCGCCGTCTGTAATCCTTACAAAACAAGCTTCCGACCACATATCGGTTTTCAATCTGTATACTTAGTCTGGGCACGGCCCGCTAAGGCGGGCGGGGCTTGCCCAATTCCATTTTTTCTTATCTCGTAACCGCGACTTGTATAAACCTGCAGCTGGGGACGCTTCCCACTTCCGAGGCGCACGCCGTGCGCACCGGGAAAAGAGTGTGGGGGGGGGGGAGGCACCCATTTCCGATCCCCAGTCTGCAGGTGATGAGCTGTGAGTCAGAGGTGGAACCCCCAGAGACGTAATCGGCTGTTGAGTCACTGAGTGAGCAGCACGGGATTCAGACCGGGGACCCTCCAGAGTTTCCCCTGTCATGGCGCCCTGCCAGAGGAAGTGGGTGCTTTACATTTCACACCCAATTACATCTGGGGGGGGTTTTCATGCTGTGGGCACAAGGAATGCAGTGATAAGCGGAGTGATGAACTCTCCAAGTTACAGGAATCAAACTATATTTTTTCCAGTTTCAAAGCCTCTCCGTCAAAGGGTGATTTCAGATTTTGGTTTCAGTCAGAAGTGGACCCTTTTTGTCCCTGTTAGTGTTTGAAAAGCCACGCTGCTTTGTCAGTTCTCCCTGATTTAGTGTACCCAAAGATCCCTGTTGTTTCTGTAAACAGAAAAACAAGCCTGCGCATGAACTTTGTCCGGTCGTCTAATTGTCGTGGACTTTTCCTTTCATTTCCCCGGTATGACTCATAATGACCCCAATTAGTTATCCCGCCTGGCTGATCCCAATTTCCTAAACCCACAGACATAGTTTTCTGCTTTTAATGAACTCCGCTTTTGAGCTTTACCTTCATGAGCTTTTGCCGGAAATTCAACCGGAGTTTAATGGCATTTGGGTTTTTTAGGCCATTTGTTTATGCTTTGGAGGATGTTTGTCATTATTTTTGTCTGGATGCTCTCCTTCTCCCCAAACTTATGATGTAACACTGAGCCATTTCCTTTAACAGTGGGCAGCATTTTAATGCAAATCGGGTTGTAATTTCGTCATGTAATGATGAGGAAACAGAGCTGGCGTGTGCCAATTTGCTATAATAATATTAATTAAAAAAACTCTTTTCTCTTTGGAAACCACCATTAATTCTAAATGTTTAAGTACCTTTTTCTCAGTAAGAAGTTCACTGAAGTTTGAAATAAGCAATCTTCCATCTGAATATGATTTGACTGTCCCTTGTCCCCATTTGTCCAGCATGCGTACAGTGCGATGTGTCTTTAATATGGAGTCCGGTCAGCTGTTTGTGACCACGGCTGTACCAGCCTCCCACAATGGAGCTTTTTGTCCTGGTGCCCAGAGAGAAGCAGTGGGACTGAATGACTCAGAATCAGTGTGGCCCCGATCGCCTGCCGTTGCCGGCATTGTGTCTCTGAACTGACGGTCATTCATTCTGGTCTGAGCCCCTTTTTCTGTCCACTGCTGGCTTTCACCAGGGCCCCTCTTGTTCAGCTCAGCTCCCGCTGGCCTT